TGATTACTCTTTCCTATAAATCTTTAAAGCAGTTACTAATGATAAGAGTGGGGCAGGCAGCTAGTCAGGTCCTGCTTTGTGTTATCTCTGCCCCTGATGTCTTGTTATCTGTCACCTCTTTATTTGATCTTCTGAACTAGTTTGAAGCCCCCTTAAGGATGAGGATGGTGTCTCATACTTTTTTTTGACTCTCCATTTTAAATTATAGTACATAAACCTAAAAATAGCCCTATAAAATTATTGCTACACATAAAACTGATTATACTAAGAAATTATGACATACTTTCAAAATATCCTTTTTTTCCAATATTAGTTAACACCCCTTTAAGGGCATCAGATGACATATGGTACTTTAGGCAGGTCATTTCACATTTTTGAGATCTAATGTATAATGAATGAGATGGGAAGATTCAGTTAGATCATCTGTAAGAGTCCTTCTTTGTGTGATAGTCTGTCAGGGCTATATTCAGGACATAGATATTTGTCATGAGGCTCATTCTTCTTAGCTAGACTTGGTTCTGAGATATATGCTTAGCTTAGAGCCTTGGATGGGCACTCAGCTACTGGAGGAATGCAGGCTGGCTGTCACAGGTGCTCTGGCTGGGTGCCCACAGCATACTCTTGCATTGTCACTCCCAACCTCCCCCCACCACACCAAAACACACACATGCATACTCCACACTTTTGCAAATCTAAGAGATGCTGCTTAGCTTAGGACCACCCTCTGTTCTCAGAGTTAGTATGGTAGATTGACTCCTTTTTGACCAGTTAAGAGCCTAGAGGTAGCAAACTTCATATCTAAACTCCAGGTAGTTAAGTTGGGTCTTGATTATAAAACTGTTTTAAAAAAAAAAAAGTGTTTTCAAATTTTGTAATGACTTACAAGATAATTGTTTTAAAAAGATAATGATATCTTTTTGGAAGTAAGCCATGGGCTATTAAAACTGTAGGTCACATAGTCTTTGAGCAAGATTACCAAATTGAAACTTGTAGCTGAATAAGAACCTTGTGTAAAATGTGGGGATTATTGTTTAGAATTCTACTGTTTTTCTTATAATTTGCATAATTATGATCTGTTTATTCTAAAATTATCTTCTGTGAGTTAGAAATAGAACATATACACTTCATCAATGGTCTGAAATTTATAAGAAGCTCCTTCATAATATTTCTAGTGCACCAAATAAATCAGTATCTGAAAATGTTGGCAGTTTTCAAATTTAAAAATGTTGTATGAAAAGATATAAGTAACCCAGTAATTTCATGACAGGACTATATGTAGTATCCTTTTTTCCAGGGTCAATAACAGCAACAAAGTCCAGTAAAACTTCTTTGTAATCCATTTTAAACATATCATCTTGAAGCAATATTACCTTTTGTGAGTAAAACTATGGGCAAGAATCTGGGCTTTAGAATCAGATAACTCTAAGCTTCAAATCCTGGCCCGACATCTTGCTAGATAGGTGTCCCTAAGCAAAATACTTAAACTTTCTATTCTTTTTCTTCTTTGTATAATAAGGTAATAATGCTACCTTGCAATATTATTGAGGATTAGATAGAATAATATAGACAGAGTGCCTACCAGAGAGGAGTGTTGAAGAAAATGATCTATCATTAATAATATCATATTTATGCTATAGAAAGAAAGTATCATTTTTTTTTTCATTTAGTTGGAGTGAATTTATTTTTTACAAAGCACTTGACTTGTTTTGATTAGGTGTGGGTGGAGACATAGTGAGCAATAATGAGTTAAAATTATTTTTCTTTTTAATTAAAAAGAAATCAATAACATCTCAGGGATACTCAATTTCTTCCAAAGGGAACATGAGACAATCAATAACAATTCTTGATCCAGATGCTGCACAAAGTTGAAATCAAAGCCTGATTTAACACAGATAGTCAGACAAAGGTAACAGGGCTCAGTCCAGACTGCCTCCTGCTTGTTTGGAAATGATCCCCAAAACACCTAGGATTAGACATCCAGCAACATCCATGCACTGTGGATTTGAGTCAGGCTTGCATGGGGGTGTAAGTGAATCCCCAGTGTCATGCTTATCTCTTATATCAAAACTCAGTCATTTTATTTTTCAGTGCAAGTCCTAACAGACAGATGGTAACAATAGTAGAAACAAAGTATCTAATGCTATTTTTCATTTAACCAACATCATCATTACTAATTAATAATTAAGTATCCTTGTTCTTGGCTCTGTTTTAGCCAAATAAATTATACCTATTTAACTCATTGAGAGCTTTCCAGGTGGCTCAGTGGTAAAGAGTCCATTTGCCAATGCAGGAAACATAGGTTTGCTCCCTGGGTTAGGAAGATTTCCCTGGAGGGGGAAATGGCAACCCACTCCAGTTTTCTTGCCTGGAAAACCCCATGGATAGAGGAACCTGGCAAGCTACAGTCCGTGGGGTCACAATGAGTCGGATATGACTTAGCAACTGAGCACGCACACACTTAACTCTGCTTGACAGGACTTTACTGGAGCTGATATAGACACGGACTGATAACAACAAAGTGAATAATAGATAAACCAGATAAATGAAAAAAAAAAAGAATGCTTGTAAATAACAGATAAACATGGGACTGCTAAAAGCCAATCAGTAATGAATCATGATGTCGGGCAATGAAAAGAAAACTAAATCCAAAGGCAAAAACCGAAGAGTTCTCATTTCAGCCACCTCTCTCATCTCTGAGATTCTGGGTAAGTCACGCTTTCTGGACCTTAGGACCTTTGAGCCTGCTCTACTTTCTAAAGGGGGACATGCTTATTCTACATACTCTGTGACATTCACTGCTGGCCCCTTTGTCTTCACTTAGCTCTAGTTTTAAATTTTTATTTATTTATTTTAATTTGAGGCTAATTACTTCATAATATTATAGTGGTTTTTGCTATACATTGACGTGAATCAGCCATGGTGTACATGTGTCCCCCAAGCTGAACCCCCCTCCCACCTCCCACACTTAACTCTATTTTGCCTTTACTTAACTCTATTTTGCCTTTAAAATCTTTTAAACCCCAGATTCATATGGAATTGTAGAAGGCTTCCTTCATTCCTTATTTCCTCAACAGGAGTCAGACTCTTCTCACTTTTAGGTAATTCCTTGATTCTAAGTCTTTTTGATTGCTGTTAAATTACAGAGATCCCTGGGAGTGGATGAATTTTTAAATTATTAGACATTTACATTTCAGTAAAATTGCAAAGAGAAAAAAGCAGCAAGATTTATCTTATAGTCTTCCCAGGTGGTGCTAGTGGTAAAGAACTCATCATCAGTTTTTCCTTCTTGCCAACTAGACTGAATGGAAGAGCTCGAGCTCCGGCAGTCATCTTGGGAATGAAACTCATAGATGGTGGCCTAACTTCAAGAAAAGATAAAGTGCTCTTTCAACTTCAGGGAGACAACTGAGGTCCTGTCCATTTTTGTTTGTTTAGTTTATCACTGGCTAGCTTTTTTTCACTCCCTTAACCCACGTAAATAATCAACCAAGGCAGGAGAAACAAGATAGAACTAAGATCCCCCTAAACTTTCACGACTCTCTTTTTTTGGCAACTCAATTTTCAGGGGTTCTTGATTTACTCAAACAATAGTAAACCCATACGGTTTCAATATTGTAATATTTCAACACGTTATGTAGTGCTGCTGCCGCCAAGTCGCTTCAGTCGTGTCCGACTCTGTGCGACCCCACAGACGGCAGTCCACCAGGCTCCCCCGTCCCTGGGATTCTCAAGGCAAGAACACTGGAGTGGGTTGCCATTTCCTTCTCCAATGCGTGAAAGTGAAAAGTGAACGTGAAGTTGCTCAATGGTGTCCAACTCTGTAGCGACCCCATGGACTGCAGCCTACCAGGCTCCTCTGTCCATGGGAGTTTCCAGGCAAGAGAACTGGAGTGGGGTGCCATTGCCTTCTCCATATTCTGTAGTATCAGACCCTGAATTCTGAGAGTTTCAGAAGGTGATCATGATAGTACAAAAAATATAGGAAATTCTTTTGAAGAAAGACAAGCTCTAAGTGGCTCTGCAAATTCTTATCATTAAATGTCAATAACTATTTGCAGAAGCCTTATGTCTAATAAGCAACTGAGAAATATATTGATATTGGTTTTTACCTTTTAATTTTATTTGTTATTAGCTAATTTAAATGAAGTTGCTCTAACCCTCACATAAACTAAACTGTGAGGGGAGTTGTGCTTCCACTGTTTTCTGAGTAGTTATAAAAACTATTTACCTAGGTGATATCACATTACATTTTCATTGATTGCAAGATTAGAAAACAGATCTTAGATTTCTTTTAAAAAAAAAAAGGCAAAACCAAAAACACAATCTAAAATTAATGGAACATTTTAAACATGGTAGTTTCCAGTACATTGTTGTTGCAATATTGAGTCAGTCTATGAAGTTTTGATATTTATATTTTTGAAAAATTCTTACATATAAAAGATTTTAAGGCAGTATTTCTCAAGTAATGGCAAAGGAGCACTGCATCAGAATCGCTAGGGTGTTTGTTGAAACTGCTAATCTTCATACTCCTCGGTCACATCTAGTGAATCAGAATCTCTACGCATGCCTTGAGAATACAAATTTTAGCACCTTCAAGAGCCTTGAGAATACGAATTTTAGCACCCTCAAGAGATTTTCAAGCACATTTCTGAACCTCTGTTCTACTGCTTTGTCTAGTGCAATGAAGTTTCAAACTGTTTTGCTGCCGCTGTTGTTACTTCCATATTTCTGTCAGTATCAAGTTCATTCCTTTTCCATTCTGCCTCCAATAATTATTTTGACCACAAAGTGAAAGGCAAGAATCATTACTGCTCTGCTTAACATATACTCTTGGGGAAAAGGGAGTTTTCTGATGGGTACAGAGAATATGGATAGTCACACATATTTGTCAGTTGAGGGGAAGATAAGTGTAATACAACTACAGTTCTCAGATTTCAAAACCATTTTTGAACCAGCCAGGGAGGAGTATGATTGTAATGTAAGGAATGACTCTGTTGAAAGGACAGGATAGCTTAATAGAGGTCTCCTATCTTGCTCTGTGACGGCGCTTCTGGGCTCTGGTGATGAATGTGTTCATTTTCTGTGACTTGCTTTGGGTAAATAACCCAGTCCGGTATCAGCTCTCCAGCCTTGGGCCAGCAGCGCTTGTGTGTGCGCACTAATGACGGTGGAAGGTGCCTGGGGGAGGGCCTGGGGAGGGGCTGCCCAGTGCGATCGCTCCCCTGGCACTTCCTAAGACTCCCAGTTCTTTCTCTGCAGCCGGTCCTTGAAGACTCCAAGCTTTCTCCTCGGAGGAAAAAAACCCGTCTATCTAAATCAGCTGTACTCTTCTGTCTTCCCTCGTTTCTCCCTCCGCCAGGCACCACCCCCACCCCTTCCATTGTGTAGTGCGTCTAGCTCGGCTTGCTGCGTGAGACCTTAGCCTCACTTGGAGCAGGAGGGATTACTGAGAATTTCGGAACCTTGAGTTGCCCATGGAGCTGTACGGAAAGGTAAGCAGAAGGGAGCTCCTCCGCCTGCTCCGCGTGAAATCTCGCTTTCATGGACTTCGTGTGTGTGAGTGTGAGTGTGTGTGTGTGAGTATACTCGCGCGCGTGGGCGCCTTCTCAGCGCAACTGTGTGAGTAAACGGCTTTCTTTATGTGTGTACCATTCATTGTCGTTCTCCCCCGCGTCTGCTGAATGAGATTGTAAAACCATCCTTCTCTGCCTATGGAAATGTACAAACTTTCCCGATTGGGAATGGGGAGGTGTAGGGCGGAGAGTTCCAGAACACGGTGCAGGTTTCGTTTAGATTGGAAATTAGCACAAGGTAGTGCGTCTCCTACCCAGGAAAATCACAATCTAGCTTCCGAAGCCGATAGGTAGCAAAGAAAAATCTCCAGCTGAGATGAATGAACTGGGGTCACTTTCGCTTGCACCTTGCGAGGAAACAGCCCGGCAGGCTGAGAGCACTAACCAGGAGCGAGTCCAAAAGAGAAGGGAGGCTCCGCGGCCGAGTCCTACTGGAGAAGCAGCCCGTTTAAATGCTGGCTTGCCGGGAAATGTAGTTCACTGCCCACCGGTTTGCGGGGAAGTTCGGCTAGGCTAGACTACAACTCCCAGGAGCACGCGGGGCTCCGGGCCAGTACGCGTGTGCGGCGCCAGGAAGGGACAGCTCCGGTGCTGATGTTGGAGCCGGTTAGCGAACCCCGAGCGCAGAGTGGAGCGTGAAGCGCGCGGGCTGTGCACGCTTGACCGGGCGCCTGAGCCAGCACTGTGTTAGCCAGGGAGAAAGGACACTTTGCGAACAATGAGACACGAAGCTCCCATGCAGGTGGGTCTGTATAGAAAGTGTGGCCTCGGGAGGAATTGAGAGAGACGCTTTCTCCCTCGCTCCAAGTACGAACTGCGCCCGATCTAAGGGAAGGTCTTAGGCAGCCATCCGCCGGGACGCGGTTCAGACTTGGTCCTGGGGACAGAACCCCGCTCCGCGGGGCGGTGATTGGGGTTGTTTTGAGGAGGGGTGGGAATGTACACTATCTTCCCGGGCTCCACACGGATGAGAGTGTCTAGAACGTCAGCCCGGGCAAACAAAGTCAGAGGAACATGCCATCTCTTATTGCCATTGATTGTTCCTCCTGTCTTGCCTGGTTCGTGATCGCGGTGCAGACACACCAGGTTTGGTGTTGCGAGCTGTCTACTGGAGTCGGTATAGAGCAAATTCAGCTTAATTAAGAGCTCTCTAAGAAAGGAGAAGCCAATGTTAGGGTCCCCAAAGTCCCCTTTCTTCAATTAGGGTCCTAGTAATATCAGCGAACACTTCAGGGCTTCGCTCTTCCCAGAAGTATGCTAGCCCTCTCTCTCTGTCCATACCGGTTTACTCCTGCGTTTCAGAGACTCTCGTCCAAGCTTTCCTGAGTACGGTGACCGTTTGTTTTTCATTCCGATTCCTGTTTAAGTCACGTTCTTAGGTTTGCTTCCTTTGACTCCCTGCAACGGTGCCTCTGCCTAAGCATCTTGCTTAAGTTCTGGTTTTAAGTAAAGATGAGTGATGCTTTCTCGTTTGTATGTGCAATCAATTAATACTAAACATCAGCCTGAGTTCATTAACAAGGAGAGTGATCTCCCATTGCGTAACAGAAAGGCACTTTATGAATGGATTGAGAGGGAATGGAACGCTCAGTTTGGAACGTGTTGTCTCTCTTGAGAACCCACCCCTGCTGCCAAATCCAGCAATATAAATGTTTGACTTTAATTTGAACTTAGAGGTCTTCCAACTGTTTTTCCTAAAAAAAATCAGGGGTTTTAAACGTATGCGTCAATTTACTTTTCATTTGTGGTGTGGGTTATATATGGGCTTCTCAGGTGCTCTAGTAGTAAAGAACGAGTCTGTCAATGCAGGAGATATAAGAAACGTGGGTTCGATCCCTGAGTCGGGAAGATCCCCTGGAGAAGGGCATGGCAACCCACTGCAATATTCTTTCATGGGTTATGCATATTTAGAGATGTGTTGACTGTTCAGTGAAAAAAATCTAGAATTTAACTGTTTGTTGAAGCATTATATTAATGAAAGCTCTCAAATTACCTTATGAGTTACTGAAAATTTGATTTGTTCCAGAGAACAGTGGTCCGGCTATGTATCTTCTAATACCTGTGTTTGTGACTTAGTTTTTCATTATAGACCTGATGTGAAAAGAATCTGGACAGACAATAAAGGTACAGGCTGTTGTAATCAAGATGTATTGGCTTATGATAATTTCCCATTACTGGAGTTACTGCCAGGAGCCAACTGGCTACATTAATCATATTTGATTACAAGTAAACATTGACAGCAGACTTTAAAAGTAGATTGTTAGTATTTGACATTAACCCTATATATACACTGAAGTTTTTATGTTAAAATAAATTACTAACAAATTAATCACAGTGCATTTTGATTTTTATTTTCTTACAGTAATTGTTTAGACTGTTCAGAAGGGTCATCAAAATATTACAGAACTATATGAAGTTAGTGCCCTAAGAAATATTTTAGGTCAATTCATATCAACTTTGTAGTAGGCACTGCAATTCCAAAGTTTAGTCAGAACTTTAATGAATAATAAATATAAGAACAAGTAACAAAATTGATTTGCTTCTGCAGTTATTCTCATATTTGGGATGTATTTTATTCATTAGACTTGATTTTTTGCATTTAAAAATTTTAATGCCCGAATGCTGTCTTGAATAACATGTATGTTTAAAAAAATAAAAAGCTTTTTTCTTTAGTACATTTAGTTAAAGCACATTTACTGATTCAGTTTACCAAGTAAATTGTTATGGTGGCCAACTCTCAATTACTATCAGGTTTTCAAACATATATAATGATAGGAAGAATAAAAACTATAAACATGCTTTATATACACACACACACACACACACATATATATATATGGCAGGTATTGTCTTAGCACTTGTACTTGTGAATCATAATCACATTCCAGATGACTTTGATATATGAAAATGTAATCAGATGAATAATTGACATTTTTTCCATTTAAAGACTGAACCATATCATTTAAAATGCTAATTTACTTTTTATATTTTCTTAAATCAAAGAACTCTTTAAAATTGTTCAGTATATTTTTTAAAGTATTTATTGTGCCTTTGTACATAGCTTGGTGCTCTGTTCAGTGTAGTTGTCTTTGATATATGCAAATTTTCTGAATAATATTTCTCTTTGAGTTGATGCAAAATGCAGGACAATAGCAGTAATAGTCTTTGCTGTCTGTGTTTCCTCTGCAACTAAATAACCAGGAATAGCATTTGGTAAGTGTTCCAAATGATGGATTACAATTTTAATGCAGGAGATGGTCATTTTGTGTTTCTTCCTTTAGTACCCCATAAATCCTGAGGACCAAATGAAATGGAGAATAGCAGTGCTCATGACTTAAGGGCAACACTTTCAGGAACAAATTATCNTCCTCTGCAACTAAATAACCAGGAATAGCATTTGGTAAGTGTTCCAAATGATGGATTACAATTTTAATGCAGGAGATGGTCATTTTGTGTTTCTTCCTTTAGTACCCCATAAATCCTGAGGACCAAATGAAATGGAGAATAGCAGTGCTCATGACTTAAGGGCAACACTTTCAGGAACAAATTATCGTTTGATTCAGGAGCCAGATTGAACAAATTCCAGTTTATCTAGTGCTTTGTTTGTGCCAAGCACTGTGCTTTGCATTCAGATCTGTGTGTATGTAAAATATAAAACAGTCCTAGAGGTCACTATTACCATAATTACAGGCAGATAACTAGAGCTTTATATAATTAAACAACTTGACCAACATGGTAAATTCAAAATTCTGCTAAATCTCTAGGAAGCCCGTGTTGTTTCCTCTATTATTTTGGGTTCCTTAAGAAGACACAAAAAGGTAATGTAAAGAATGAGTGCCATGTTGATTTTCATTTGGATCAGAAAAAGGAAAATTGTCTCTTCTGTTTATAAAATTATCTTATATAAACTAAATGAAATATTTGAGAAGGGTCAGTGTTTTAAAAATGGCTAGCTCTTTGTCTTCCTGGTTTGAATTTCTTATAGCTTTATTTACACTCTCCAAGGACCAAAGTGGAATTCTTTGTCTGTGTTTAAATGCTTCATCTTCAATTTTGTCATCCACAAGCTTTCTTCACGTAAGTGCAGAGAGCCCTCTAACTACTTAGGAAACTTCAAAGAAAAACAACTACTCAAAGCATGGAGCAGTGTGCCGAAAAAGGTTGTGTGGCTAAAAATGAGGAGGATTGAAGAAAGAGTATGAGTGTAGGCTGAAAATGAAGTTGAGGTGAAAAGCACAGTAGATATTAAATATAGCCATGCTGTCTAACAACAACAACAACAAATTACAAAGAAACAAGACCTAAGTAGCATTGTTTCATTTGTCTGTGAAAAAGTCCATGGCAATCTTGCATTTTATTATTGTTGAATTTCTACCCACGTCCAACTTCAATTATGATCCCTTTATCTTTACACAAGAAATGGAAGGTTAGTCCTCATCCCTTACAGAGACGCAAAAAAGCTCTAGTTAACATTGGAGAAACAAGAACTTTTTTCTTACTTGATTTGAGCAAATTCCTGAAGTATCCACCTTTCTTCTGTAAGGGAAAGTGGAGGGTAGAAAGGGAAATTGTCGTAAAAGCAAATTTCTATGGTGTAAGAATGACTTTCCATTTTCAGTTTAAAGAGTTGTGGAATCATTACATGGCATAACCACACTTTCCCCCTGCCATTCTGAGCTTGTATTGGAACTGCAAATTCCTTTCTTGACCATCATATTCCAAGAAAGAAATATATTTCTATGCTAAAAATGGAGTTTTCCTGGGAACTTATGAGTAGTTGTGCCGCCTGAAAAAAATGTTGTATTGGGTAAAGCTCATCCAACAGTTTTCTCCATTTATCATTCACTAATGAGTTCCAGAGGTTCTAGGGGAACCTCTTAATAGATCATAGATTTCTACCATGCATATTATGACCTGTG